TATATATATAAGAAAAGTGAGTATTAGCTTTTATTGTAAAAAATTAAGCGGAAAAATATCCCAAAAGCATGTCGTTTTAATAAAGTTCAATTGAACAAGACTAAAACAACCTAATTTTTAAAGTAGGAATGAGGCTATTTTAGTTTTTTCTTGTGGTGTTTTTAAAACGACATGGTTTTAAATGTTTTTTTGCCTAATTTTTTTGCAGGTTTGGCTAATAAACATTAATCTCTTTCTATATATATTGACTTTTCCAGTTTTTTGGTTGATTACTTTGTTATAATCTTACTTAATTTTATTCCAATATTGCATTATGGGAGGTATTTTGAAGATGGAACTTTCTTAGAATTGTTTTGGCCTCTTCAATTAATGTTGTTACTAACTCATCAAATAAGTCTAGAGGCAAATCGCTGCCTTAAATTTCTTCGCAACCAGGTTTAGTAAGATATGAGATATCACATTTCAAACTTGATCAAAAAGAATGATATGGTGGATTACATACTAAACTTTTCTCATAGTTTCAGACCTGGTTGTGCTTACTAGACAAGATTCAGTTTACTAGGATTTCTTACCTTAACTCAGTTCTTGCTCCTACATGTCAACTTGTGTACTACATTGTTTATTCATGTCTGTCCTTGTATGCACACATGCTTATTTTTTATTTGCATTTAGGCTGTTCCAGTTGCTAGTCATATGTAAACTGGTTAAAAGAGAAGGTAGACTGGAGGTCAGAATGGAGCATTTGGTCTACTTTTTTTAGAAAATAGATTTTAAAGGATTTGCAATGAATGTTGTTTCTCTTGTTGTTTAAACTTTCCCACTTTCCCATAGAGAATGCAAATTGTAACTCTTTGTAGTCGGTTCTTCTGTATATAGATTGCTTAATGGATAACCAGTTGTTCTGCCTGTGACATTTTGATTATAATTTCAGGAAGTTCAAGATTACTTGAGGACTCTTTGTCCTGACTTGCATATTACACGAGGTGAATATGATGAAGAAACAAGATACCCAGAGACTAAAACACTAACTATTGGTCAATTCAAGTTGGGATTGTGCCATGGGCATCAGGTCTGGTAGCTTCTTTCTAGTTTTACCCCATTTTTACCACTATTTCTTTTTTCTTTTTTCTTTTTTCTTTTTTTTTTTTATTATAAATAAGTTAA